CAGGCGGAGTTGATGCATTTGCAAAAACAGTTGTCGCATTTTCGTCGCTGTAGTTTCGGCCTTCCGCAAAAACCCATTCCTCGTCTTGGAGATCTGAAGACTACATGACTAGTTTCAGTTTTTGATGCTGAATCCGAATATCGAAACCGCAAATCTCTTCGATCTTTCTCGGTGGAGTTATGGGCATTTTTCGAAAAACGGATATTTTTCCGGTTTTTGACCATCGCTCCGTATTTTGGAATTTTCTCGGCAAGGAAAGGATTTTGGGAGCCGGGATGGTGATATGCGTGATTGCCGTCCGATTCTCTATCGAATGGTGTATAAATCAACGAAATCTATTTTTTCACTACATCTTAGAATGAGCTGCATCTTATCATGTTTTCTCTCTCATTCTGACGCTTAAGTGATGCCCTAACTAAGCACAAAAGCGTCTGAAGAAAAGTAGTGAATGATAGCACAGTTATTTATGTACTATCTTTTCAAATACTTTGCTGACTTTTGAAATTAATGAAATTGAACGATATTTTTTAACGAAAAATTTATTCTATTTTTATGAATTACTATAACTGATGTTTTCTTCCAAACACTAAAAAACTACTCCATTGTTTAATGAAAGTGGAAGGATGTGATGTAATTGCGGAGAAGTATGATCAGCAGAAACTTTAAGGAATCTCGGTGTATCTGATCAACGTCGATAGAATTTTTGTTTTTTACTTTCGTAACAGAAGAATAGACATCGAAAATATTGAAAGAAATATTTGACAGTAAAGATCGTTTATTGTCTTTTACGTAACCTCTGTGGTTATAAATTTTAATACGTTAATATTTAATTCGATGTCAACCAAAGCAAGTTTTTCATTTTATGTTCAGAAAAATTTTGATAATGAAGCATGTGTTCACAACAAAAATATTCGAATACAGAATGGCAATTATTTTTGTAACAACTATCAACGATTTTTAGTATTATTTTCTTCTAGTGGTTTATCAGCTGTCCAATCGTATGTGCCAAAATCTCTTTCTTGTACAACTGTTTTCCATCCTACGTTTTCTGCTCGTTGTTTAAATGCAACTCCTTCTGGAGAATGACGTGCAATTCCATCCAATAGCGTGGCAAACATTTGAGATGTTGTTAAACCCATATTTTCTAATGCTTGATTAATCATTAATTTTTGCATGATAAGTTGATTAATCGGTACACTTGTCATACGATCAGCCAGTGCTTCAACTTCATTGTTAAGCTGTTCACCTGGCACAGATTTTAATACAAGTCCAAGTTTTTCCGCTTCCACTCCATTGATCTTATCGCCCGTCAACAACATACGTTTTGCTTTCTCCACGCCAAGCCTAAAGAGATAGATCTGCATTCATCGATCAGTTAAATTGCATTTAGTCTGCACCTGTATATCCACATGGCAGTAGTGGGGCAACCCCACACGCGTGCCGGCATATATCCAATATATGCTTCATTAGCCATAATAATGAAATCACAACATAAAGCTATATCACTTCCACCAGCCAGTGCATCACCATGTATTTTACAAATCACGGGTTTCAATGATCGGAATAAAGACATAAAATAGTCTGTGTTACGTTTCATAAATGAATAATCTTTCATGGCATCCCATGGCATTTCTTGTACAGCTGTTATATTTTTGTTTTGAGCATAATACGTCAAATCGTATCCTGAACAAAATGCCCTACCCGCACCCGATAAAACAATTACATGTACGGATGGATCATTATTAGCTTGTTCTACGTAATGCGCTAGTTCTTCGGGCATTGCATCATTGATGGCATTCAAGACATTGGGCCTGTTTAGAACAATATGAGCTATTCGATTATCGGTTTGATAAAGAACTGCCGAAGAACAGTTGGAATGTTTTGTATTTGTACTTAATTGTGCAATAGTATTTATCGGTGGGCTAAATTGTTTTTTCGCAAACATCATACATAATTTTCTATTTAAAGATGTTGCCATAAAACTGTAGCACACTGTTTTGGTTAAGAATGGCAAGATAATTCGATGCTGTGTGTACGTGAAAATAATCATGTTTTCTATGAAATGTGTCCAAAACTAGAGATTTGTGAATTAGAATAATATGATCAAGCAAAACAATCTATAATCAAAATAAAAATTACGTTACTTCGATATATGAACCTGATTCACAGTTCACTACTGCATACTACCACACCAAAAAATAATACATGCAGGGGGAAGAGTGAAAAATTCGAAATATCTACCAGATTTTTTCAAAAAGTTCAGGTGGCTAAAAAACAGTTTCATTCGACACATTGAACAATTCTTTTATAAAACTCCTTATGGTACTCTACTTTTTTGTCCTTTAGGGATATCTGGAGAGAGAATTCGTTGAGATATCAAACATCACTCAAAGTACCCGTAATATGATCAAAAATTAAAACAGTTTTTTATGATCTCAGCAGATAAAGAGTTCAAAATTATCCATAAATCCAAGTTTTTAAACCTTAAAGCTAAAAATGAGTGAGTTATCAAGTTTTATACAAGAAATTCCATAAAAAGAATCGAAATAGTAGACTTTTATCATATTTTTATTTTTTCTTGTCCTGTTTCCTATTTTAAAAATCTGAGTTACACATGAATCGAATAAGCGGAAAAAGCTGAACAAGTTATTCTAATTTTAAGAGACTCAAGTCATAAGCTATGGTAAAAACTCAATTATTCAAATTTTTTTGTTTTAGTTTCTCACGCGGACCCGAGAATAAATCCAAAAATGAGCTACAATATTAATGCCACCAGAATTCACCCTTTTGAAAACTGTAGTTTTGACTCAAACTATTGCATTCTCAAAGAAAACTGCTATGTGTTGTTAACGTCTCGTAATCTCATCCTGTGCTATTCGAAATGCCTTCATGAAATTTTACAAGAACATTACAAACTACAATAAAGTTGAATACGCACACCAGAATTCTAGAGCAGCTCCTCCAATATCAGTTTCCTTTGAGAATGAGAAAATTTTTTTCTGAAGTACCCCGATCCAAAAGTTATCACGTACTAGATAATCGCCCATGGCGAACACGAATCTGTAGTCGGTTTTGATCGAACAAAAATTTTCGATCCGGTGATATGAATGATGCTAATTCTGGTGGTACTAATATTATAGCTTATTTTTGGACTAACTCTCAGATCCCATTTCAATGTAAAGCAGCCCATTTGCAGACAATTGATTTTTCAGCACATTTTGATGTCCTCTATCAGATGGCGTTAGACTAATTGCAACCCCTGTGTCTGATGTGATAAAACTGGCTAGTTAATAATAGACAGCCATCACTGAACGAAGTACATTAGTTTCGGCATCTCGATTATTCAGAAAAGTTACATCAAGCGTGTTGTCAACGTTTAGCACATGAATCAAGCAGACCAAACATTTGTCTTCAAAATTATGCAAGAGTGAGCTTGATTCGTTCATTTTCGGCTGAGCATTGGTCATTTTACAAATAGCCCTAAAATACATGTTGAGAAAGCTGAAAAAGTGGCCATAGGGCTTTTGCAAAAAAAATTACTGAAAACACAGAAATAACGATAGAAAATCCGCATTATAGCTAATCGATAGAGAATTTTAAGGGATACATTTTTGCCTACTTGTTTCTCACACAATGCATGCGCTCAACTGCAGACTGACGAAATACACTTTTTTGAGTTACATTTTTAAAATTTTTAGGATATTTCGATGTTTGTTCAATTAAGACAGTGTCTCAAACCTTAGGATTATCTTCTATATACCACTTTGTAGAGAAATTAATGGGGAATCTTTTGGTAAAAAGATCAGCGCTGTAAGTACAAAGGGAGAGGAGAAAAGCTGAAAATATAAATTACGTCATTCTTTTTGGTACACCCGTTACATGTAATTTTCATCACAGCGAACACTACCGAAAACTGACCTTTTCTACTGTAGAAAGATTGAGTACGCTCACTTGCTATTAACTGGAAGAATCTATATCAGATGAATTGTTCTACTCTTTTGGTAACGGACTCCATATCAGTTTACCGTGTTAGAAAATGTAAATACAAAGAAATGGTGAAATGAAAATCACCCATCATTCTTTCAGACTACCGAAGTAACAAAAACGAAAAAGAAACATGTTGAGAGTATAACTATTGATCGATACGGACTAGATATATAATAGAGTTAGAGTTAGATACAGAAAGAAAAAGAAACAGACATTTTCTTAATAATCTTGATCTACAAGTAAATTACGTTTTCTTACTTAAATTAAACATAGGTTTAGTTTGACATATAACAACCGCAAGGTTATTTTTTTATTAGCATTGTTGAACGATAACACTATGAGTCAGACGCTCGTCATATTTCTGTTGTTGAGATGCCCCATTCTCTTGGCACCACTAGTGGCGGCGCCAGGATTTTGCTCCATTTTGGGAACACTGAAAAAAATTTTCAGGGTGGGCTTAACTTCCTTTCGGGTGGGCTCAGCCCACCCCTGGCGCCGCCACTACTTGGCACTCCCTAGAAATTAAAAATAAATTCTTAGACAATATTCATTTGAGTAATTGAGAGTTAGCTAGGACACGGTAAGCGCACTATGTTTAACCTGTCATTTCACTTGATCGTATATCTCCAATTTGTCACAAGGCTGATAGAATGCATTATTATGTATTATTCACGAAAAGTGAGAGTCAGAAGACGGTGTCATATGAACCCTATCTCCAACAACTGATGTAACTAGGTATGAGTCATCACAGACAACCTCCCGACATCCATATGATAATGTGAAGAATATCAACCAAAAGTGGCGATATTATTTCTTTCTTAGGACAATGTTTATAAGCTTAGAGATGCGTTGCAGAATGACACTAAACTATACACTTACGTCGAAGATAACCAGCAAACGGTCAAACATAGAGCTGGCATTAAAGTATCCTAAATTCGAACGACCATAATACAATTTGCACCCAAAATACCGACTTAAACTATACTCTGTTTTGTGCTCAAGTAATATTCGTTGAGGTCTATTCTCTATTGCTGCCCTGTAAAGAAGCATTGAATTTCTATCATATCACCTTCTTCAAATGACTTTGCAAACTGCTTTCCTAATAAATCTGCTCTCTTGAATTTAGTCTAAAGTAAAAAAAAATACTTTTGATCTTCTAGATTGG